CAACAACAGCCACCAACTTCATGGGTCTCATAAGGATTTCAAGCCCATTAAGTTTTGGACCCTTCTTTCTTTTCATCTTAATCTCTCCTAACCTCATTATTAATGCCCTTAGAAAAGATATATGCACAAATATGTTTTTCTTTCTCAAGCAAGAAAAATATGCTGTGTGTAAATAGAAAAAAGAAGCAAGACAAGTTCTGAGATTTAGGCAACTAGCTGGCATGATATAAATTGTAATTCTTTAAAATAATGATTGTTTTCAGCACCTGAATAGTCTTCTGTCTTGTCAGATTTGGCAGCTTTCCCAACTATAAATGACAACAGTCATTAATCCTTTAATAAGTGAGTATAGACATTGCTCAGTTAGATAGTCTGTCTTTTGTATAAGGCAGCTTTATGTTTTTATTTTAAAATATTGAATTGTTTAGGATTTTGTCTTGAATTTCTCATCACCCATAAAGTCCAATCAAAATCATTCCCCCCCCCAACATCATTTAGATAAGCACAAAAACAGGATGAACAGGGTCCTTTCACGGCCATAAGCAGCTCATCAGAAAAGGCTTATGGCTCATGTGGTTAAAAGTACTGAATTTTACATTGTGTTATTACTTAAAAGAATTTTTTTTAAATGATGTATCCATGCGATTGGGTGAGCTCCCTACCTCCCCTCAGCTCCTGTCAACCTAGCAAATGCAAGTAGAAAAATAGGTACCACTATGGTGGTGTGGGAAGAATCCAGAGAAAGAAATATTTTGGGAAATATTAAAAAGGCAGAATATATTTCTCCAAAGGAATAATGGAGAAGATCTTTAAAAGGCAGAAACTTCTCCCTCAGCCAGCCAGAAAACTCAGCAGAAACCAGCTTTTAGAAATGCAGATGTAATAATCCATTCAGGAAGGTTGGGGCCAGGAAGCTAGAAGCTGATGAGATTAGGAAGACAAAGACCTCTAAAATCTACATACCCCACCCAAACTCTAAAAGACATGATCTTTGGGAACATAATAGGATTAACCCACCAATACCAAAAGGGCACACTCAGACTCAGGTCAAAGTACATGACACAGGAAATACAAAACCTCAAACAGGAACAGGAAACAACCTCAAGAGCCCCAGAAGGTATAAAAATCCACCACTCCCAGCTTTCCCAGAGCTATGCTTCTATCTGGCTTTGCTCTTCAATAAACTCCAATCTTCTTTCTAAAGCAGTTTCCATTTTGTTTATTCCCAGCTTGGACTGGACCCTGATGAAGATTTTTCTTTCCATAGTGGTAAGGTAACAGCGCTAGGTGATGTCATGCTGGCCACATGACCATGGAAATGTCTTTGTACAGTGCTGGCTCAGTGACCTTGAAACAGAGATGAGCACTGCCCCTTATAGTCAGCAATGACTAGTGGAATAAACTCTGCAGTAACTCCTTTACCTTTACTGCTACAAGAGTAATATATGCACAAATATGGAAAGACTGACAAATATCCATTACGAAGGAATAGAAGACAACTAAATTAAACTAGTCTAGATGACAAAATTAACTTTTTGGATTAGAAAAAGATGAATGACTACATGTATTGGTGACTGGAAAACTTTATGGACTTTTTTTCTACAAAAAAGAAAAGAAAAATAAGATGGAATGAGATGGAAGATTTAAAAGGGTAGTTTATGGAAAAAAGGAAATTATAATGTAATTTTAGAGAAGAGGGTAAAATATAAATGCACTTATAACTATTCACAAAAAGAACAGAAGCTGCTGCTTCTTAATCTTTTCCCTTTTATCTATTTGTTCTTACTATTTTTCATTATTTTCTTCATTTCTTTTCTAGATATACATGTCTGTTGTATATAGTTTCTGAATATACACACGGGTCTGTTCTGAATACTATGTTAATATTTAAAAATATGACATTTGCTGAGTGCCAGTTTGGAATATTGGAGAAGGTGCTGACTAGAAACCAGGAGACTTGAGTTATAGTCCCATTTTAGGCACAAAAGCTGATTAGGTAACTTTGGGCCTCTCATCACAATTCACTTCACAAGGTTATTGTTGTAGAGGATAGAGGAAATAGGAGGCAGATATTTTTGCCATGCTGTGTTGATAGTTAAATAAAAAAGACAGGCTAAAAATTTAATAATATACCCTTCTTAAGTTATATCTAAGTTTTCATTCTGGCCAGGAATGCAAAGATTAAGGATAACTCGGATGAAGAAGTTGCCAATCATTATCCTTTTTGAGTAAGCAGAGAATACACCCTCCCATTATTAAGCTCAATAATGAATTGAGCTAGTGAAATCAAATCCATCTCTAGATTAATTCCACTCACACACTTTTCTGTCAGCGTTCCACCCTGCAGTTATCTTCATTGTTTTATTCTTGGCATAGCTATGGTTCCAAAATGAGTTTTCCTCTAAGAATCTGCATTGCACTAAAATAATGTAAAGAGACCAACTGGACACAACTGCCCCTTGATGGCTCCTGTAGACAATATGGTCTGTTTGGAATGATTTTGTCATGCTTCTCCTGGAAATTGGTAAACATCTAGGTTTTTCAGACTTGGATCCCTTATTCAGCACCTTCACGACTGAAGGCTCACAGACCCAATTAGTTGATGATGTTACCTAGTCAGGTAATCAAAAGTCTGCAGGCAAACAACCAAGCTCAGAGAGCACCAAGGACCTCACAGTTCAACCCTGAATTACAGATATTCTCTTCTATTAATATGTTTACTATATGATCAGCAGATATCATTTCTTGGAAGAAAAACATGTGTCTCCAAATTTCTTGTTGTTTTTCCTTGATCTTTCTGCTTAGCCAAACAAGTTTCATCGGTTTAAAATGCCCCAAATAAGACACTACCTCACTTGCATCATACTACTATTATTTGGCAATTTGTAGCCAGATTTCAAGAGCATGACCTTGGAAGACTCCAGGAGGCATCAAAAAAAAAAAAAAGCTGTGGGTGGAGGCCACATTCAACTAAGCACCACATTAGTTCCATTACACTGCTATTGTTCTTCAGTTTTCAGCAGTATAAACTTGCTGGACGCCAGAGTATGCAAAGAAGTACTCAGGAGCAGGGAAAATGCATTATGGAACCTGCCGATTCTTGGCTTAGTATTTTCCAGTATCCAGTTTCCTCATAACACTTAATTGCCAGAAAGTCAACAAACATTCTCATTAGTCAACAAACAAGCAAGCCATAAAAGTGCTTTATTCTGTGCTCCTTCTGAAAGCTTGCATCTGTTGCTACCCTACTAGAAATGGAAAATATGTCTGCCTAGAGAAAGGGCAAAATTTCAATCATTTGAATATCTCTTTTGCAGTAAGGCAGTATTTTTTTATTCCCAGCAACTTGAAGATGTGAGCCAGCAAGGACACAGGCAGCTGGGAAATTCTGGGAGTTGAAACCTACGTGTCAAGTTGCTGAGGTTCAGAAATGCATTTTTTAAAAAAAATAATAATAACATGTATTATTACTTCCATCCAGATTATATTAGTTTTCACATCCACGTATACCAATCTCTACACAACTGTGATTATTATCACAGAGCACTGAATGAATTATAAAATTGAAGGAACCTCTCTCATGTCTCTTCCAACTCTGTTATTCTGTTATCTCATCAGAGTAGTAATAATATGTACCAACCAACTTTACACATAAGAGGACCTGGTAAAAGGATCAAGGGAAATTAACAATAGAGAATGAAAGAGATTTCAATAAGAAATGTAATACAAACACATTCAGAGCAAAGTTGAATAAAATAGAGTTAAGGACTATTTCCCCAACATCACATAGTTGAAGGTTTCAAACTCGGGGTGGGTATCGTTGAGGTACAAGATGGTTTGGACCAGCAAATAACCAATACTTGCACTGTAGGAAGATTGCTGGAAAGGAAACATAAAACTTCAACTAGTGAGCTGCTAAAGCAGTGGTTCTCAAGCTTTTTAATGCTGTGACCCCCAACTGGTCGTAAGTCGAGGACTACTAACCGGTCGTAAGTCGAGGACTACTCAACTGGTGCAGCACTGTTTGCAGAATGGGACTTTTGGCGGGCTCAGCAGGGCAGAGACAGCCTGGACAATTCCTATTGGCTTTTGAAAGCCAATAGAATTAGACTCTATTCAACAGAGTCTATTCTATTGGCTTTCAAAAGCCAATAGAATAAAAGGGAGTAGCACAGCTAAGGAAAAGGGGAAAAAATGGCGGACTGCGTTGTTTGGCGACCCCTGTGAAATGCTCGTTCGACCCCAAATGGGGTCCCGACCCACAGGTTGAGAACCGCTGTGCTAAAGAGTCCACAGTATGAATATATTTTTTCTTATAACGTGGACATGTAGAGTTCATTTGGAGTTCAGAATTTAAAGATAACATCAGAAAATGATGCACACTAAAAAGTATCAGTCACGCTTTCCCAAAGTAGACATCAGATTAAAACTGGAAATCAAAGGGAATACCTAATAAAAGTATCCTGAAATATTAATGAAAAGGAAGAGAAAAATACCTATCTGTTTACATTCCTGGACATTACTAATTGTCTAGATTCTATAAGACAAAACAACTTTGGAAAATAAGGACACCTGCAGTAAATACTATGTCAGTTAATATAAACATACATTCAGAACTTCCACACAGAAATTCCAATGAAGGCGTTATATCAATATAAATAATTACGTAAATTCAATTTGTGCAAACCTTATCCCGATAAAGTATCTAACACATCCTTCATCAAATGCAACTATGTTTCCTTACTTTGTCCTGTTGAAGACATCCCAAAACAACAATATCAATGACTGGACCTTAAATTTTATTTCTTTCACCCATCTATACACACATTCCTAAAATCTGAGGAGCTTCATCAATTGCTGTCAATTTCTTTTGTTCAATCTCCCATTTCCGTCCCCAGCAATATTATAAAAGAGTCTGTCATGTTGAGGTAACAGCCAAGGGCACATTCTTAAGCAATCCTCTGGAACAAGCAAAATCAGTAAATAGACTACATACTTACTTGAATTGATGGTGTTCTCTGGAGCTACGAATCTTGGAAGAAAATCTTTCTGCTAATTTTTCCAGATTCCTGGAATATTCCAGTTCAATCTCAGCCTTTCTACGGAAGAACTCCTGAAGATCTTGCAAAAGTTGCAATCGGGATTCAGACTGTTGTTCTAGGCATTTGAACTGCTCCACTAACTGGGTACGAATTTCTGCAACCACCAAACAGAGAACAAAAAGAATGTATGAATACCCAGGAATAGCACCGACATCGTATTTAATTTAGCTTATATTATGCCAAAAACAGAGCAAACCACATCAAGTCTGCAGGGTAGGAGCCATAGAAATACAGGTAGTCCTCATGATCACGATTGAGCCCAAAATTTCCCTTGCTAAGTTGTTAAGTGAGTTTTGCAACTTTTCTTTCCACAGTTGTTAAGTAAATCACTGCAGTTGATAAGTTAGTAACAGTGTTGTTAAGTGAATCTGGCTTCCCCATAGATTTTGCTTCTCAGAAGGTCCCAAAAGGTGATCACATGACCCTGGGACATTGCAACCATCAAAAATGTGCCGGTTGCCAAGCATCTGAAGAATTTTGATTACATGACCACAGAGATGTCACCGTTTTCAGTGCCTTTGTAACTTTAAACAGTCACTAAATGGATGGTTTTAAGTCGAAGACTACCTATATTGAGCATTCTCTGTACAAGAGCAATGATCTGTGATTATTCATTCTGTAAAAATAGCTGGTTTTGCTCAAACATTATGGAGTATATAAAGAAGAATCAGCGCGTTATATCAGCGGTCCCCAACCCCCAGTCTGTGGATCGGCACTGGGCCGCGGCATGCCAGAAACTGGTACGCGCAAACAAGCAAAGCCCCATCCACAGGATGCAGGCAGTACATGAAATCACACCCCCTCCAGTCTGTGGAAAAACCTCTCTCCATGGAACTAGTCCCTGGTGTCCAAAAGGCTGGGGACCTCTGTGTTATATGGAACAAAATACAAAGTGATAGCAAAACATCTTATAAATCTAAATAATCTGATTCTTATTGATTTACAGATCTCTTGTACTTATATCGTAATAGGTCAGGTAGTTAGACAGAGGAAATGATTTTGCCCTGCAGTTGTCCCATGGCTGCAAATTAAGTCTTCTCTCTGTTTCTCAGACTTGACCCTTTGTAGGCCTCTGGCTTACCTCCTCCTAGAGCAGTGGTTCTCAACCTTTCTAATGCCATGACCCCATAATACAGTTCCCCATGTTGTGATGACCCCCAACCACTTATACATCACCGGGTGCCAGGGGCGTGGCCAAAGAAAAGGTGGAAAAAATGGCGGACAGCCTTGTTTGGCGACCCCCGTGAAATGGTCGTTCGACCCCAAATGGGGTCCCGACCCACAGGTTGAGAACCACTGTCCTAGAGCCTTCTCCAAGGAATTTCTGAGTGCATAATCTTTATTACATGTTCATGCAGGACCTGTTACCTCTGACTGGTCCTTTTGCTTATCTACAGACTGGTCATCACAAGTGCAGGATCCTGATGTCTGTTTCAACAGGCTTTGCATAACATTTCTGTGAAACATGTCTTTCTCTTCTGAGAATGTTCCCTTTGTCACTGTTTTGACATTCATTTCCCATAATATGTGAGACAGGGCCTTGTTAACATTCCCTCCTACCAGTTTCCCAGCTTTCTTGGTATTCTTTGCCTGGCCTTGTTGATCATCTTGCCCTATCTGGATCTCATCCCTGGATTCAGCCTTCCTCTTGTTATTCGCTTCTGTCATTTCTGTGTGCTCTGTAGGATTTTCCCAGCCTCATTTCAACCCCTTTAAAATTTTATTCTCCACTCACACATTAAAGTGTCGACATTCAAATCAATGTTTTTCATTATAGCCAGTTGCAATATATGTAATAAAATACAAATGATAACATAAAATGTAATAGCCTTATACCAAAACATGTTTCCCGATATCCACACAAAAGCTGACCTCGCGCTTTCTCTTATATTGTGCATGCCCAGATGAGCATGAATGAGTAGAATACATAATTAAACAGACTGACTTCACATAAGTACATAAATACACAATTGGATTGACTTTAAAATATTAACGCTGAATAATTGAGGGACAATGTTCCCTTCCTACTCTGATAGGAAAAGAACAATTGGGCTAGGATTGAAGTACTGTATGTATAGTAGAATTAGATGGAGAAAGCATTTTCATTGCCTTGAAAAGCAGAATGAAGTGACAGAAAATCTCTCCTGAATGTGTGATATACTAAAACAACCTGCCCTACTTTCTCTTTTGATATAGAACAGGGGTGTCAAACTGCCTGCCTGCAGGCCAGTTGCACCATGCGGAGGCCACATCCACCCAAGCTTCAGCAATGCAAAAAAAGTTGCACGTGATGCGGCGAGGGTTACAAAATTAATAAAAGCCATGCAATCAAGCAATCTGTGTTCACAGGACTTCCAATATTTTTTTTACAATGCTATAATATAATTCACAGTCATTATCATGTCAAAGGAGAAAACAATAGAAAAACACTTTTCCAGAGGAAGAAATGGCACAAAGATGGCTCCACAAAAAAAGAAGGGTCAACAATCTTGGTGAAGAATAAAGAACCAGTGACTAGACAGTTTTTTAAACCTCTTTGGGAAAGGAGAGGACAGGAGATCACCCACAAGTTACTCCTTGCAAGGAGACCATAAAACTATGGTCTCCAGCAGATTTTGAGCACTGGAGGTGATGGAACAGCCATTTTGCTTGACATCTTTAAAAGGACACTAATTTCACATACTTCTTTTTCTAAACAGATTTGGAAATTACTTATTAACTATTTTTCAGTCATTAGAACCTTTGGATCAACAAATCTGAAAACACTGGGTGAATCTGCCTTCAATTCTTAATGAAAGAAAAATTTAATTACAAGCTTAAGTACCTAAAAAATGAAATAAATAGCAAAAAGCTAATGGAAACTTTGATTTTTAATTATAAAAAGTTATAAACAGGTTGGGAGTTCATATAAATTAAGAGTCTCTCTGTGAGGGAGGTGGGTTTCTAAAAGAGAGAAAGAGAATCTGAAAGAAGATTTTGGAATTGTTTATAAAGAATCCTTTCTATGGGAAAGTTGGCTTGCTTTGACTTTTTTTCTAAGACATAAAAATTGGACACTAGAGGGAACTACAGATTATTTATTTGATCAATTTATATAGCAACCCATATCCCAAGCAAGTTTATTTTTAACGAAAGGAGAAGAATACATAAATCTGGTTAACAGCTACAGAATTACACAAAATACTACAACATTGGAAATACTGAAATACTTTGAAAAATGGAATTGGAAATTAATATCAACTATGTCAATAGCGATGTTAGATTCTATGGATAGACTGTATCCAATTGATGTTTTAGAAGAAATGGCAGAAGAGGAATAAGTGTTATCTAACAAGACAGAGGAGCTGTGGCCAAAAGTGGATGACAGGCTACAAAAATGACATTAAAAAGTTGTTTTATTAGATATACAAAAGAAATTGGTTGACACTTTAAAAGTCAAAAACAATTACAAATAATAAACCAAGACAGGGATCTGAATAATTGTTTACATTAAATTTACCCAAGAGATTGGTAAAGTTTGGATAAATCTTGTGAGAAGAGATAAAAAAAAGAAATGAAAAGAAATCAAGTTTTAGGACATTATTTGAATAGACAAAAGATTAAGGCTCTCAGAAGTAAAAGGAAGGAATATTAAATTGGTTTCTTCGATTAAAGAAACCAATATATATTAAAATAGATATGTTGCCATTTTTGACAATCCTTAATGGAGTTTTGCTGACACGGACTAAAATGGCAATGCTTTATGGATATGTTTATATATAAGAGATTGGACACAGTTTGAAGAGATCATTGGTTGTTAATTAAAGTTATTAAAATTGTTTATACTTGTTGTGATGAAAGTTGGGAGTAACTTCTTTATTTCTTTTCTTTTTAATTGTACTATTCTTTCATTTCTTTGCATTCTCTATATGTTTTTCTTAGCCTGTCTGTCTGTCTGTCTATCTATTTCTTTCCTACAAAGTTACTGAGGGTAAAATGGGTGGAAGCTCATTAAAGACAGATCCAACCTGGAACTAGGGAGAAACTTCGTGACAGCAAGAACAATTAGCCAATGGAACAGTTTGTCTCCTAGAATTGTGCATGAAACATCATTGGAGGTTTTCAAAAAAAGATTGGGATGGTATAAGGTCTTCTGGAGGGAATTGAACTAGAAAACCTTCAAGGGCCCTTCCAGCCCTATGATTTTAGGATTCTTTTTTTAGTTTGCATTAGTCTTTATTATTGCAATTATTTATTTATGTATCAATCAAATTTATACAGCTGCTCATCTCACCAAAGCTCATCTCACTCTGGAAGAACAATATGAGCAATAATTAAAAACAAAAGTTGTACAATATATATGCAACCTTATTAATAAATATCATAAAAGTGAAAATACAAAGCCTAGGAGAGGGAGGATAAAAATGGTCACTTCAGCAATGGAGCCATCTGAGCAGGTCCCTGTCATCTGGAAACCCCAGGCCTGACAACATAGCCAAGACCTAAAGGGCTTTTCAGAATACCAAAAGAGGTGGACCTAGTCTAATTTCGGAGGGAAGAATAAGGTACACAAAGAAGGTACATCTTTTGGGACCTATCAATAAAGTTCCTTGACCAATGATGCCTACGCTGCCAGGATTAGTTGGTTCTATGCCATGAAGGACTTTAAAGATTAAAATCAGCAAACCTTCTATTGAACCTGGAAGCAAACGGGCAACAAATGCAAATTCATGGAGCAGAGTTATGACATGCACAACTCTAGGAATTCACATAGCTGCCTGCACTACTGTATTCTGTACCAAATGAAGTTTCCAGATACTGTATAATTTATAAATCAAATTATAATCTTTAATAAAATTATTTTTTAAAAAAAAGGGGGGAGAAGAACCTTGGTTTCAACTGCTCCCATTGTCTGTGAGCTGTCACTGAGGACAGAGCCTTTATTCTGCTTCACGGCAGAGTGTAAATAAAAGCTCTCTAATGCTTCTATGTAGAAGAGCCCCCCACCTCTGTGAAATGGCTACTCTGCCACTCATGGGTAGCAGATGTGGAAGAGATAAATTATGTAATTTGAAGACATTGTATGGAAAGCAATTTTCTATGTTTCCACTTAGA